TCTAGTTGGCCTCCAACCTTTCTAACCCTAATTATATTTTTTGAAAATCGCTATTGCCACCCTCTAGTTGGCCTCCAACCTTTTTAACCCTAATTAATAATTAAGGTTAGATTATATAGGAAGTGGCAGTAGCAAAATTAGGGTGACAATAGCAATTCTCTATTTTTTTTTTTTTTTTTTTTTTTTTTTTATTGTCATAGAATCATAGCCATGATTACATTTGCGTAATGATTTTCATTTTGATATTTTAATTAGATTAACTTCTTTATCATATTATGATACTTTCTCACAATTATTACTACCAGTGCTCGGCGCAATCAAGCAAAAGCTTGATGATCAAATATTTGTATCATGTCGGATATCAAATAATCATATAACAAATTAATTATCGTTATACTAATTTGATCTATCGTCAAGTTTTTGCTTGATCGTGCTGAGCCTAATTACTATATAGTTAAACGCCAATACTTCATTTTTACGTAATATTTTTCTTTTTCTAAATTATATAAAGAGTTGCTATTCACTAATAATGAGAACGAGATCGATAGTTAAGATCAATAATCGAATAAAGAAAATACCTTAAAGAGACTTAATAATGTACATCCTTATAAAAAAAAAAAAAAATATGAATCCTTATTTACTGTAGTGATTACTAGTTTATTAGACAACGATTGGTTGTATTTAGATGATGAGTTGGTTCACCTAATTTTGTGACGTTTCAATTAATCGGCCAATCAATCGATTGTCGATTGGTACGTATTACCATCGTTAAACTTGTATTTTTTAATAAAAGGTTACCTGTACGTATAACGATCCGTTTATGATCTTCAAATTTATCCCACTAGTAATTACGATTCAGCTAAACTCGGCAATAAAAGTCATTAAGCTCTTCCTGAAAGTGAAATCTCAAATTATTAAAAACCATTTACCGATGTAGAATTTAAATCCTTTTAGATTGTCCAAATAAAAAAGGAAAAGAAAATGTCTTCATGTGAAACTAATTCTGCTTCTAGTGAAATTACTAATAATAACTTGTCTATCGATGCCTTGGAAGAACCTATTGTAATAACACCAAACAGTGCATGGATTAATCCGTAAAACATATTCATGATGTCTTTGTGATGCATCCAATTTTAGAATTATTCTATTGATTAAGGTGAATCAAAAATTTTCCTATCTTTCATTAATCATGTATATTTTATATACGAATGTATAAATTGAATAACTGATAATATAAAGACCTTACGAAAGAATAGTGTGCTCAAAATTTGTTCATTTATTATTGCCTAAAAAATTATAATATTACTAATTCAATCTTTTATGATCGACAAAAATCAGCGTAAAAAAAAAAATACTCGAAATAACGTGAGTATTTAAAGATAATTTGCTTTTGAATATTAATGGTGAGACCATGTCTCTGTCTTTATTGAAATTTAATTAAAATTTAAAGATAATTTGCAGATTCAGTCTGAAAACATTTTTAATAATATTCTTTTATAGAAGGGATGTCAGAAAGAGAGCAGTTTGGAGAAACCAGTAAATCGTACTCACATGGCCGATATTGCAGTTTCGATGATTCTTGTGCCATTAAAAAACAGCAGAACAACGCAGGATGAATGAATATGAGAGAAAGGATCATGTTTACAAAGGATTATTCATTTAAATACACTTCCAATTATGATACAAGACAAGCGAAGATACCATGTTTAGATTTTTGGAAGCATTACTAACATTCATATACTGCAGGTATAAGAATCACTCAAATTTTTGGCTCTTTTTTTTTTTTTTAAGCTTTGTAAGTAATTTTGTAAATTACTCAAACTTAGATCAGTGTAAAATAGCAAGTAATAATAACTAAGAAGAATGTTTTAGAAACATTTAATATTCAGATAAATATAAACATCAGTACTAATATACAAGAAGAAACGTTATTATCGAGAAGCTTAAAACAAAACGAAATACTTATTACAAGCAAACAATTGAACGAATAAGAAACTTTTAATATACTAATTTAATGAGCACCTGTTACAGATATTTTTATTCATTAGAGGTTTCTAAACATATGTCTAAGAGATCTGTCGAATAATGCAATTAGATGAAGTCCACTCAATTCTTACAGGAAAATTATTTAGAATACCTTAAATATATCTCTCCTGTTCTACATATCCCCCAAAATAATTCTACGATATTTTCTCCATTAAATTCATCAAGAACTAAACAAATCAGACTAGATAAGAAAAAAAAAAGAATTATCAATCTTAAATTTTTATTAGTCTTCGGCTCTGGGCTTTGCCCATCCTATATATTTTTTTAAAAAAATGCTAATAAAGCTGACCCTTGTGGCTTGCATGCGTATTTTATGGATTTTTTTTTCCTATCAATATTTGAACCCAGATGTTTAGTCACGTGAGAGAGTGACGTTTTTATACTGTATTATACAAATCCGCATGCACCTTTGCTTATCGTTATGATCTTTCCTAAAGAAATATACAAACTTTATTACACTTATAAAAAATTTTGTCAGCAATGTTCTAAAAATTTTCCAAGTTATTCTGGTTATTCTGTTTTTGTTCAAAAAAAATGTTCGGAATGGAGTCGATTTTCCGAACATATACTGATTTTGTGCAATGTTTATACTTAATGTTGTCAACCCAAAAATTTCTTTTTTTTACATCATGATATAAAAATTTGTACAATATCGTACTAATATTCGGAAATTCGACTCCGTTCCGATCTTTTTTTTTTTTTGGGAAATGCCTACACTAATTGTACAAACTTTTTTTTATAGGGATAGCATAAAGAAGTTGTTATAACAAAGTTTTGTGTTATTTCAATATCAAAATTATGTTCAAAAAACAACACTGTTACGTACGTACATATGTATGCACATGGTAAAAATCGAATCTACCTTCTTATCCAAAACCGGGTCACAAGCAGTCGACAGAAATATGTAAACATTCATAAATTTTAGAAATTTAAAAAATTGTAAAAAATTGAAAAATTTTTAGAGTTTGGCAACTTTTGAAATTTGAAAATTCAAACATATGAAAAATAATGTATATGAATACATGATATTTATCTTAAATAAAGTACAACTCGATTAGAGTTCAACACTCGAAGTCATGATAAGCGTTTGGCTCTAATGATCCCCTCGATTAGCGTTAGTAAAGTTTAATTGTGTAATCTTAGACTTCCTAATAAAGAGAATCATGGAGTAATCTAGAGCTCTAACCGACCCTAGTTACTCAAACAAACAAAGTCTTTCCATGCCTTTATCAAAGTCTTTCATTATTAGGGTTAGAGTTTCAGTGTAGTATCTATAATGTTATATTTGTGTTATTCTTATTCCGACCTATATCTACTCCGGAAGCCATTATCACCAACGTTTAAAATTCAGAGTAATATCACGTGAACATTGATATTATATTTTCTATAAACGGGTATGTACGTACGAACGTACCCGGTCAATCTACGGTCAATCTGCATCATGGGTTCTAAGATTTTATCATCATTATACAGTTATAATGCTAAATTAGAACTAATGACATAGAAATAAAATGAGGGATGCATTAACATATATATATATGCGACCGCCATTCGACACATTCACTATTAAAGACTTCATCATGCATTATCGTTGCATGCATGAGAAAATGAAACCTAGATTGTTTAGTTTAAGATGTACCCCTAATCCACTTCTCAGACAACCTTTCACGCGCCAAATTAACACATCAAATAATTATAGCATGGAATGGCAATGCTAAAATAATGTAATAGGTAAAATGTGATTATCCTACACGCGTAACACTTTAAATTTTGATATAATATTAATAGATTATTATATATAAAAAAAATATGATATATGAGAAAATATGTTGTGCTAAAATGCAAAAGAACAACGAACAAGCTCGAAACAATTAATGGCATGGAATTTTGTAGAATATTTGTGTGTAGTTTGGCGAATGTATTTTCTTTTTTTAGGTATTTATAGATTTTCAAGCATTTTATATAATTTTGAAATACCGTGAGTATCATGTTACTTAATTTGCTATTAAAGTCACCGATTACATCAGCTAACCGTCACGCATAATGCCGATAAGATCTCGATAATCTATCATCTATTCAATTTATTCAATTCGATGTTAAAAAAAAAATCAGTTTAATTTTCTGATTCGCTCCTTCGTGCCATGTTTATTTAAGGACATTCGAATTCGCTCGGACCGTTATACATATATACTAATTTAAGTATAGTAAAAAAAAGATTCATCAACTGCGCATTTAATTTATTATTATATCAACATACAGTAAATGTATGCGTACTTATAATATTTTGATTATACTTACGTACATAACGTATGTAAAATACGTCTGCATACCGATACAGTACTTACCTATGATATCTGGCTGCCTCACATCACTTCCCCACACATAAAAAAAAAACAACAACTTATTTTAAGGTAACAATAGTTCCTAAAAGAAAAAAACCTTGCCTATCAACTAACGTGATAAAAGACTTTGATAATATAAAAGGATCAGATCACCACTGACGCATAGATGCAAGTGGTTAATCAGTTACGATAATACTACACGAACTTCCATTATTTTAAATATACTACGTTTAACTTATGAATTGGCGTAAAAAACGATATGTAAATCGTTAATATTAAGTACATACGTACGTACCTTTATTCCTCCTTTGTTTCGGATCAGAAAGGTTAGTCATATCTCCAGGGTGTTAATATGGTAATAACTGGCATAATAAATGACACCAAGATTATATAAAGAGTATGTGTTTCCATGCCACTTGACTTCTTTGCAATTATAAAAAGTATGTGTTCCTATGCTGTTTGACTTCTTTTTATGATTGCAACGGAATTCTTTACAATTACCATTTCTGTCGTATGATTATAACTGTACATACATATATATAAGCTGTATACGTACGTTACAATCATTATAAACAAAAACATAATAACGATTCACGTATAACGATAAACAAGATGTTTAACAAAAAATCTTCAACGACTACATCTGACAAGAAAAAACCTTCAGAACGTATTAAAAAAACTATCAAATCGATTGTAAAGTCAAATGATACAAAAAAAAATGATAGTAAAAAAAATGCTACGGATACTAAAAATAAAAATTCACCTGTATTAAATACTAATAAACAATCAGAAGCGAAATCTGATGTTAAGATATTTGATATTGATCAAAAAATATTACCTAAACAAAATGATTCAAATGAATCTGATGAAAAAAAAATTACCAAAGACAAACCTTTAGTCAATAAACCTTTAGTCAATAAACCTTTAGTTAATAAACCTTTGGATGATTCTAAAAAATCTTTAAAGAAATCATCGAAAACTGAAGAATCTAAAAATAATTCTAATTCAATTAAACCTACTTCCATTAAAAAACGTCCTTCTGTAGCATCCATTTCATCTGTTACTTCAAATGTTGAAACTAAAAACAATATCACTGATAGTAAACGTCGCATGTCTTCAGCCGTACGTTCAGAGACATCGCGACCATCAACACCAGATATCATTAAAAAACAATCTTCAAAAATAAGTCTAAATCCTTCACGACCAACTACTCCTTCACGACCGACTACTCCTTCACGACCAACTACTCCTTCACGACCAATTATACCTTCACGACCAACTATACCTTCACGACCAACTACTCCAGACCCTACAAGACGCCCAACTAGTCGTTTAACAACACATGAAAATTCAATCACTTTGACGCCAGACGCTACAAGACGAGTATCTTCTCGTCCTACATCGTCTGAACTCTCCAAAACTGCAAAAAGACCAACATCAATGATATCAAGCACGAATTCAAGACCTGCATCACCAGAATTCACAAAAACTGCTAAAAGACCTACCTCCGTTATATCTCAGCCATCAATACCTGAAATTAAAGCGAAACAAAGCCGTTCGACGCAACAACATGATTCTTCAAATATCATTACTAAATCAAAACAATTATCTCAACAAGCACCATCAACGTCAACGTCAACGTCAACGTCAACGTCAACGTCAATGTCAGGAGTAGCTAAGAAACGAAGTGTTTCTGTCTTGTCAACAAAGTCTTCAAGACCACCCTCACCAGAAATTACCAAACTACCTGAACCTCCATTAATACCAGGAACGGTCAGAAAACCGAATACCTCTTCTAAACCTTCAAGACCATCCACTCCCGAAGTAACAAAATCATCAACGATTGAGACTATAAGAAAACGTAGTGTTTCAAGTGTTTCAAGACCATCCACTCCCGAAGTAAACAAACCATCAACAATTGAAACTATAAGAAAACGTAGTGTTTCAAGTGTTTCAAGACCATCCACTCCCGAAATAACAAAACCACCAACGATTGAGACTATAAGAAAACGTAGTGTTTCAAGTGTTCCAAGGCTATCCACACCAATCAATCTTGAAATTAAAAAATTACCAGAGATAACTGGGCATCAACGTTCAAATTCTAGTGCACAAATCTCATTTTCTACCACATTTTATCCAACATCTAATAATTTAACATTAGATCCCCAAGTTAAAATAAATAGGCGAACATCATTCACATCATCAATAACATCACTTATATCTGATGATAATTATTTCCCAAGATCTACAACACCAACTTCTGATACTTCAGCGGAAAGTAATGATAGTTGTAATGATTTTGAATTTAAGAACATATCATTATCAAATGAAGTCATTAATAATAGTGTTTTTGAGGCAAATCATAATGTTCTTGAGGCAAATCATGATGTTCTTGAGGCAAATCATAATGTTCTTGAGGCAAATCATAATGTGCTTGAGGCAAATAATAATGTTCTTAAGGAAAATAATAACGTTCTTGAGAGAACAAATAATGAACAATTATTTATGGAGAAATGGTTAGAGAATAATAACCTAACATCAAATACGATACAAGATAATGATAAGAAATCCACGGAAATTAATATTCCCATGAATCAAGATATCCAATCACATAAAAGTGATTTAGTAGTATCTGATTCTGAACATGATGTTGCAATTTGTGTTTCGACGTTAAAATCATTAGATAATCCAACAGTCATAGAAACCTCTATAGAGAATACAGAGATATCAAATAATAATATATGCAATAAATCAGCAGATATACAAGATAAACAAGATAATTCAAATCTGAATATAAAAGAATCTATAGAGATTTTAGATGAATCTTCTGAAGAATTTAAAGCCGAAACGAAAATAAATGCAGTCGAATTAGTAAATAATATGATGATGAAAATAAAAACAATTAAGAATGTTATCGATATTAACGGAGATAAGTTACCAGCCATAATAGAGCAAGATCTTGATCTAACCAATCTACATGATTATATGCCAACTGTTGAAATCGAAACGAAAGAATTGTCACGCATGACATCAGATGTGACATCAGACGCGACATCAGACGCGACATCAGACGTGACATTAGATATGACATCATATATGACATCAGATATTATATCAGATAACAAGAGACATGATTTACAGTATTTGAAAGAATCTACGGATAAATTGATGATGGATTGTGAAAAGACACGTGCCATAGATATAAAAGATTGTGCCAATAATAATACTTTGAAGGATAATTTATGTGCAATGCAAAATAATATAAATTTAAATGATATTAATAGTATTCTTTATCTTTCCACCTCGCCCGCTATTATCGAACATCGGACAATATCGGTATGTGCAGAACCATACAAAAAATATGTAGGGTCATATGGTACAACACCGCAGGATTTTATACCATTTTCAAGTTACGAAACGCAAGATATTGTGACGTGCGTTGATGAAAAAAAATTCGAAGAAATTATGCGACAAAATGTTTTGAGATCTCCGGAAATAGCATACAAAAAACATACAGCTACGGATATAATAAAAGAACCCAATATAAATACAGAATATCTTTTAAATTCTGTTGATTCAATACCAAAATTAATTACTACACAAGAAGAAGAAATAGTAATTTATCCATCGTTATCTGATAATATTATTACAAAAGAAGAACAACAATGTAAGACTAAAAACTAGTCTTGTTTTTTTTTTGTTTACAAATAATATTGAATATCAATATATAATATATCTCTCTTTTATTATCTTTTATTATCTTTTATTAAAATTAGATTATGATGTTTCAATTAGTGAAGGTAAACAAATTTTAAACAAATTTTAAACAAATTTTAATCAAAGTTTGGAATTTTTATAAACAAATATAAACACCTTTTTTTAATAATTCTAGATGAGAATATAAATTCAAAATATAAAATGAAGAAGCCATCTTATGGCACATTTCATGACAAATATTCCTGTAAGAATAGTTATATTTAAAGGCAATTGTCCTAATTAATTGTTCTAATTAATTAACCTAATTAATTAACTATTTATTTTTATTTTTTTGATAGATTCAAATTCTGGCAAATCTGTTCATGATCCATTAATATCTGAAGATGAAAAGTTTTCATTATGTTCTTCTTGCCCTATTTGTTAATTTTTATTTATTAAGTATATATTTAAAATTCTATACATACATATATATATTTATTTATTTACTGTATTTATTTATTTATTTTTATCCTTGTACGTATTGTATAAATTTATTATTATATATTATGGTTTTAAGAATTTTGAGTAATGAGCTAGGAAAATCTCTATTCGAAAACAATTATCGAACGGGGATTTTTCTAGATCATGACCCATTTAAGATTTGATTATAAATAAAGAATACGATGATTAAGATAATTTATTTAATTTTTTTTTAACTTTGTAAGAACTTACCGTAATTGAGAGGCATGTTAATGTTAGAATAAAGTGGTAAGATACTTGAGAATATGCATATAAAATATAGCTTTCGGTCAAAAATATTACAGGCATTGACTTTTACTTTTCTTTTAGTACTGTAAACGTTTAGTTATAACTACTATGAATATTGACATAGTTTAAATTTGATTTTATCGAGATGTGACTATCAATTCAAATTGTCTAATACATATTAGTAGCTTGTGAAGATATCAAGATATCACGGCTGGACGGAATTAGGAACCCGATTAAAAATATAAACCCTATTCAAATCCGCTTATACTTTTTATTACTCTAAATCCTAACCTATATGGGTAATTATTTTTGAATTCAGACCAAAATGTTATTACGTCATATATAAAATTGCTCCGGGTTCAAAAATAATTATCCATATATATATATATATATATATATATATAAATGCACCCCAAAAAAATTTTGAAAATTTCGTACTATATAAAATGTTTAAAATTTCCAGCTTCAGCTTCAACCACGACACATAAACACATAATCCTATGTATAATCTAATTCCTCAAACCATCAATTCAACAGCAAACACATCCTGTTATCATTAGTATCTGGGATTATTTTTTGAATGACTAAACAAAGTGTTTCTGACATGCAAGTTTTTTTCTCACATGCAAATATTTTTGAAATGATAACAGTGAATTAAAATTTTTCTTATACGTCACCCTCGGTATCTGATAAGTCTTCATCTATAATATTGATACGTTTTAGATCGCTACTAAACGTCACTTGTTTGGGTGATGCAGGTTTTGATTCGGGGTTTTTAAATGATGATTTTACGATTTCACCATTTTGTTTTCGGAGTAATGAATTCCCTTGATGTGTTAATTGTGGTGAAATAGACAAATTGTCTAGTTTTAAGACAGCGCTATTATTTGCAGTGTCACGTGTCGCTGTTATTTGAGATTCAGATTTATTTTTTGCATTAACGGTTGTGGATAATGTCAAATTTAAAACTTCAACAATGGGACATTCAAGATTCCGGGTATGTCCAATAGTAGGAATAACTTGTTTTATAGTCAGAGATGTTGTAATATATGTAGACGTTTTAGGTGGTACGTAGGGCATTATCGTCTAGAAAGAAAAAAACAAAAGAAAAAAACAAGGTAGGTTTTTTTTTACTCACGGAACATGAAAATGCATCTTTTTATATGATTTTCATAAAATATATTAAAATATATGCGCATGTACAAATGTACAAATTCGGACATAACAAGACACGTCCAAACTTACTAAATTATAAATTCATACGTATATCGATATCAATAGTGCGGAGATACGTATTATAATGCCATTCAAATGAAATATGTAAAAAAATAACAACAATGATGTATGAAACAGGAAAATTCCTTGTTCATAGTATATTTTTTCTTGACTAAATCGTATTTATCATTGGGGCAATACAATTTTCCCGAACTCCGCCAACCACGGGATTAAATCAACATGACTAATGATATTTGTAATTTCAGTAATACTGTGATATAAAGTATATACTTTCCGTTTATACTTTGCTTAAAAATTAAATTCGATTTCAAGATTGATCAAAATATTGACTTCTGATTTCAAATATTGTGACTCATGGAGAATCCCTGCGTTATATAGCATAATTCAATACAAATATTACATGTAGAAACACGTCGTAAAATTATTCAGATTATTATAAATAGAAAATACAAATCTTCAACAAACATAAAAAACGCATTATCAACTGAAAGTATGTCAGATCATTACTCAATCAGTTACCCATTGGCTTAATATATATCGATATGGCTAAATGCATACTGGAAAAAGATACATCCAACAAAACATTATCATTCTTAGTACAATATCAATAAAAAAAATTTTAACTCTAATGACGATACTAAGATTCCTTCATACAAAGTTTAGCATTTTATTATTAATAATAAAATTTGATTTACGTATGATAATGCAATGGTATGTGTTTGGAATTAACGATGCTGATGTATTCGATCCGTATCACGGAATATAACAATAATGGTACTGTACGTGCGTACGAAAATCAACCTAACAGCTAATAAATCATGAGTTATAGCACGAGATCTTTTAGAATTATAGCGCACGTGGCGCAGATACGAATTTTAATAGCACAAAAAAAATCATTGGATCACGAGGTCAAATAAATGATACAAAATTGTAACATGTTTGCAACAGGTTTTTATACTATATAATTTTCAAACAACCTAAGTCTACGTATTAATAGTTAAACCAATTCACTTAATATATGTTCAATTTTACTAATCAAAAATTTTTACACATTTTCGGCCTATTACGTATATATTATATGTTGTTAATATTAAAACCGAACTCGAACCCGAACTCACCCTTGAAATACCCTTGAAATTCAAATAATTTTTAAACTCAGACCAAAATTAAACTCACCCAAACTAGACTTGAACACGACTTAAGTTGGTTTGAGTTCGATGGTATAATTTAAAAATACTAGCAACTGATTCAAGTTCATAATTGAAGCGGAGATAGAAAAGTTATGATCAAATCCAATCGAGGGCACAGTCACAGTCACATAACCTTTCGACCATATAAATTTGACATAACCATATCGCTCTAACTATAATTATCGTGACTTGTTTTTTTTCTACATTGTATTCCTTATTCGTTCATTTTCCAGCCGTTATATAGCTAATATCAAAATAACTGTTTGTCTAGATAACTTATCCCTTTAACTGTTTGTCTAGATAACTTATCCCTTTAACCGTTTTGCAGGCAAATTTGCCTGCAAAAATTTATCCAATAATCACACATATGTACCCCGCTAAAGTCGTATATATGTTGTAAGTAGGAGTGGAATTATCATAGAGTTCGGAATCTACTTAGATTAGAATCGAATAATTATACTAAAAATCTCAACCCTAACCTTAAAAAACCAGAATCAACTTAAATTCTGTTCTCACTTGCGACATATATATAAATGATCTAATTAAGTCATGAGCGTATGTAGTTATCAGAATATTGGAGTTTTAAATTGTCATTGAATAGGTACTTGTGGTTTGACTAGGTGATACACACGTTTCTTCTAAGGAGTTATTTCGCTAGTTTAAAAGGAAAACAAAGGTAAGTTGCTATCAAAAGTAGTTAAAAATGGTATCGTCTTCGTGAGTAGTATTGCCGATGATAATGTCACGTATAAGTCTAATTATGATTTATGTGAGTTGTACTAGCAAAAACAAATTTGATCAAAAATTTGCAGGCAAATTTGCCTGCAAAACGGTTAAAGGGATTTGTTTTACAGTAGTTCTTCTAAAATCGATTATTTAAAATAATAATAAATAATAATAATGAAAATATATATCAGAATTGTGCATCTGATTGGATGCATCTTCAGTTTTGAGACAATATTATCTTATAAATGGCTCGGTTCTGATTTGTAGAGCAGTAAGATTGGCTTGGCGTGGCCTACGTCGGCTATGAGCAGAACCGAGTCGATTCGAGCTGTTTTTTATCATTATTACTTCAAAATAAACTTACTTATTGTCCATTCAAGGATTAAACGTGTAAGTTTTGATATTGTCGAACGTTTAGCACAAGTAAAATGATATTTAACAGCGATAGGTCTTATCCTATTGTTGTTAATTTAACCCTATTGGTATCTTATTACTGACGAATTTCGGCACAAAAGGAGGTCAATCAGAAGTCAATTGGGATTCAATAGGTATTTTTACTGATTATTAATCAATAGTAACCAATCTGATAGGATTTTTTACAAATTGCAAATTATTTAATTACATTAATTACTATCGATTATAACAGTTAAAATTGTACCTTATTGGTTACTATTGATTAAATTGTAAAAATTCCTATTGATAATTATATATTTGACTTGTAGGTCTTGATCCGATTTCTACTTATTGAATCCTGATTGATTCCCCATTGACCTCTTGCACCAAAATTCGTCAACAATATGGTGTCAATAAATTTTGCAGCAATGAGGTAAATTAACTCCTGATTGAATATTATTTTACTTGTGTAACTCATTTAATTCAAATAAAATATGTTTGCCATTTTATAAAACCGTTTTTTTCCACTATCAGATTGGATGTTATATAATATATCAACATCAAAAAGACTGCAATATAAATAACCTATCATTACACTTTTAAACCAATATATTTTCTTATTTCATCTTTTGAGCACCATGATATTTTATTTTTACTCCAAAATATGCATGCAAAATATACATGCAAAAAGTAAACGCGATTATGTATGCGAAATGAGCCACCAAGACCAGCTTTGTTTATATAAAAATAAAATACTGGATGAATTAATAGTGATAATTTTTGTAACTATATTATAATTACTACTGTATATTTATATTACCAATTGTAATAATGGTAAATGGTATGATATGCACATTTTCCGCTATCTGCACTCCAACAGTACCGAATTCACTCTTATTCAATTTAAATGTTTTGAGATCTAATACATACCGTCATTTGTCTCGCGACATAATTTTATCTCATCTTCCATTATTTTCATCCATTATTCTCTGTCGTTAAAGACTATGGAGAAATTTTTCAGGTTGGTTTGAATTTTTTGAGTGGAGGATTTTTTGTTAAAAAGAACAGACGTTAACCTTAACAGTTAAGAATATAGATTTTGTTTTTTGAACATAAACTAATTGTTAATGTGCATTAAGTGCACTTTTTTTTGAAAATAGTATAGTATGATGTATTTTAATTTATATAAAGATTCTAGTCTTTATATATAGCGTACATAAAATTTTAGCCAATGTTCATATAACACGCAAAATTACTACCTGAATTTTATATACTGATAATTTGGCTAGCCAAGGGTTAATTTCGAAACGATGATTTTTTCTATTTCTGAAATATTGATAAAATGGCGACATATCTTAAGTTTTCTTTCAATACATTTATATTTTTTCTAATCTGCATAAAAGTAAGAGACTTTTTTTCATACGACTTCATTGATCCGACTACAAGTAAACTGCAAACAGTCTTATGAAAAATTTCGAACATTAGTTAAGTTGCAACTCCAATAAAAAAAAAAAAATACACAAAACCGTATATGTAGGTTCTATCTTCATAAGGTTAACTACTCCATCACGAAGATATGTTCTTGTGTGATAGTAAAATAGCCACATAGAATTATGTATATACAGTAGTGCTCGAATGTCCTTCAGCATCGTACCACTGTCTGCTATGGATAGGTTCGGTTATAATTGTTTACAATCAATTTTAATCAAATTTTCTAAATTTGATATATATATATATATTATTATTATTTAAAGTTGCTTAGAATATATCATCTTATAAACAAAAAGAAAGATACCTTCTTTGAAATCCAAAAATTTGGAAGAACTTTGCAAGGATATATATTGTGTAGAACATAAGTCAGGAAAGAATGATTAGGAAAGTTTGGGATTTGTGTGGTTAAACGGTTCCAATCCTGACTGACTAACTACATGTGGTACTGTAGCTTATTCATTCACATCAATGATAGGCAGACTTGTCATGGAAGAAAAGTTATTGTATGTCCAGCCAAGCCTGAAAAGGTTTATCAGACTACGTATGTCGAAGAAGTCAGCAATCAAGTGACTAAGGCCAGACCGATTTAATTTTCTGTTTAGGCCTCTTGAAGTTAAACTTTCGTTTAACGTTATCCCCCCTCCATCCCCTGAGCTCCCCCCTAAAATTAAACAAATAGAGGTGACAAATTAGTCAGTGTAATGATCGGCACAACGATCGGAATTTTTCGATTATAATCGGGATTTTTCGGTATACTATATGTTTATTTTCTATGTTTGTTTAATTTTTCCCCCCTCCCCCCGTGAATACGAAAAAAAAAATAACGTTAAACGAAACTTTAACTGCAA